TTTCCCTTCTTTCCTCCTTCTGGTTCCTTTTTCTTCCCCTTCTGACATCACTTCCGGTGAAGTCAGGGAGCGTTGCATATGCTAATGAGCTATTATGCTATTAGTCTAGTAGCTTATTAGCATACCATATGCTAATGAGCTCCTGCAGCTCTTTTTCTACAAAACGACCCCTGCAGGGAGGCAAGAAAGTCACACTCCATGAGTGGAAATTGATCCATCTGCCAAAGTGCTCTGTTGGATCCAAGCCTTCCTGAGTGAGAGATACATGGCCGTGCTTTTATTTACCTGAAGTCCTATTCAGAAATATGGTGGCAATTAGGAGCTTCCATGGATCATGAAAGAGTGCTTCCTGGAAAAAATTAAAAGGAGAACGAGGTGGAGTCCATTTCCGAAAAGCCTTCCGTCTTGGGGGGCTTGGAGCTGCTCATATACAAGATCAAGAAGTGAAAAATCAATTGCTTATTATTGCATGTAAATACAGCATCGTAATACATCTCTGAATTTGGAGATGTGAGACAATTTGCACTGCCTCTTCAGGCTCCAGAGACTGGTGTGTCAATAGAGCTGACTTCTTCTGTTTGAACAGCCTGTCATGTCATCTTAGCAGCTGAGAAACAATAACTAGTTTGCCTTGGCCCATTTCCCAAGTCTTCCTCTTTTGCTTGCCGATGGAGGTGAGGAGAAACAAGACATTTCCCGGAACGCTGCAGTTATTGATGATAATTTTGTTCTCACTTGATAGCACAAAAGCAGAGGGGTTCCCCAACACACTGTTGGTTGCTATCAAATTGCAGCAGAGACCACCTCCCAGAAACCTTATAAAAGCTTTTCTATAATATTGAGCACCTCAGCTTTAGGCTTAGAGTTTCCAGTTTTAAAAGGATTCCTTAAGACTCACATAGTGCTGCATACAATAACTATGGATAGCTGTTTACATCAAATGAGAGTAATAATTTGCTAAACACTGAAATTGCTACAACTGTTGTCAATATCATCTACCTAACAAACTGAACCTAGGTGCTGAGTGTGTACATGGCATTTCATGATTATGCTTGATAGCCAATCACTTCACAGTAGGGTTGCCAGCTCTGGATTGGGAAATAACTGGAGATTTGGGGGGTGGAGCCTGAAGAAGGTGGGGTTTGGAGAGAGGAGGGACTTCAGTGGGGTCAAATGGCATACAGCCCACCTTCTGAAGCAGCCATTTTCTCCAGGTGGTTTCTGTTGCCTGGAGATCAGCTGTAATCCTTGGAGATCTCCAGCCATCACCTGGAGGCTGGCAACCCTACTTCATGACTTCTAATTACACAGAAATAAAAGACTAGCAGTTTTAGCTTATTCATTTTTACTTGGAATGAAGATCCTATTTACTTTTACTTTCAACCAAGATCCTATTCGTTCAGCAAGGCTTATTTCCAAGTAACATGTATAATCTTCACCATCAGTCTGAAATCAATGGGACTTCTTTTTGAGTAAACACTATTGGGTACGGTTGCAATAAAATCCACACAAGGCATTTCCACAGGACGCAAGTTACCTTCTTTGAGGAATCTACTGGAAAAATATGGACTGGTTTTCCTTCTCTCCACTTGCGTTCTTCGAAAACGGCCCTCTATATATTGAAAAATAAAGACCAATGCAAATATATAATACCTAATTCATCGGTGAATTTTGATGATAACACATGTGATGCTACATTCTCTTTTAATGCATGGTAATCTGTAATAATATCTGGACATGGAGGATGCTCTTATATTAAAATGGGTTGGGCTAGAAGCCTATTGCATTATTTCCAGCCCTACACTCAGAAATGTTAAAAAATATAAAGATTAACTAACTTTCTGATACTGTACAAGTATATTTCTTGACCTAGAACTGGTAAACTCATCAAAGTAATACAGAACACCATACAGTGACCTGATGCTAAATGTCTACTGGCAAAATCATGGAAGCACAACTGCAAAATACTAACAGTGTAATCCCCTAAATTTGCTGAAATCAACACGCTTAGACTGGAATAAATCTACATGGCACTGCTCTGTAATGGTACCAAACTGTGGAACACAAAGACAGAGGCTCCATATTCCTTTGTACCACTAGTTTTGAAGTACCCTCACTAGAATTTTAGCTTCTCTGCAAAGTATATACCTTTTACTGATGTAAAGAGATTCTCATCACTGGTCTGTGAAACATTAATATCTTCCTTGGGAGCAAACTTTATATCTTGGCTCTCTGAAGGCATCCAGTTTTCCAAATTTTCAGGCTCCGAAGAGTTTTTAACAGTTGTTGCAGTAACAATCTCACTGGGACTCTCACCACATTTTAAAACTCCTGCACTTGACTTGCATTCCAAGATAGCTGCAGATGGATTAACATGCATCTCCACGGTTGGTTCAGAAATCAGCAGTTCATCCTTCAAGTGTATTTTCTTTCTTCTTGAGCCTAGCTGGCACACTTGCTGTTCATTTACACTCTCACTATTAACAGCACAAACACCATTATTTTGTCTGTTTCTTTTAATACATCCCATTCCTTGTTTTTTATGTGATGTTTTTCTCTGTCTTTTGTTTTGGCCATCATCCAAATTTTTTGTTTTGTTTGTCTCTAAAGAATAGTCCTTTGAATTATCTATTGCGGGCCCATCTTGCAAACAGACAGAAATATTTTCCAACTCCCTGGCCTTAGTCCGCAGTCCCAAAACTTCATTCTGCAGAATAGCTGCATGTCCACCATCATTATTTTGTAAGCCAAGATCAGAAACCTGGCTGTTTGAGTTACAGGTCTGTACTCCTGGCTCCCCAATACTTGATCCCTTGGTTCTCAATTGTACACTGTTCCGAATAGGAGCATTAAAATCAAAATCCTCTGATTTAAGAACAATTTCACCAGTCTTTTTAAAGTAATCCGAAAGAGCACGCTTGGATCGGAACGTCATTCCTTGAGGACTAGGAGAGGATAACAAGGCATTAACTACTTGTTGTAATATACACAAATGCTGAAAAAAGTATTAGACAATGAAGCTATCCTTATACTAATGCTGAAGTTGCCCCCGGAGTGCGGATATCTAAATCTGCACTTCGGGGGCACCTGGGGGGCCGGGGGAGGTTTGTGCACACGTTGGCCAGTCCCCACGTGTGCACAAAAATAAAAAAAGTTTTAAAAAATTTCGGGGGGAAGTTTAAATCCCCCCGAAAGTGCAAGAGCGTCTCCTGCGCGTGCGCAGGAGACGCTCTGCGAATGCCTCCGACGACGCCTCCTCCTCGGAGCCGGGCGGGCCGGCCGGCGGGCGGACGGGGGGGGAGACCAACCTCGAAGCCGGGCCGGCCGCCGGGCGGGGGGGGGAGTCACCGGCCTCGCCGCTGCCGCCGCCTCGGGGAGATCGAGGGTGGGGATGGAGGAGACGGAGCTCTTCTCCCCCCCCACGAGTATCGCGGGTCCCCCTCTTGTCTAAAATATATATAAATAATAACACTGCTATTCTAAGCAGTGTTTTACCCTTCTAAATCCACTGAAGTCAATGGGGCTTAGAAGGGTGCAAATCTGCTTAGGAGCATTTTAATTACTATTTATACTTCTGTAGTTAGCAGTGCCAGAATAAAAGTGACTGTAGCTCCCCCGCTGCATATATCACAGTGTATCCATGTTTAATAATGTGGTTGATGCACTACAGTGAAAGTCAGACCTCCCTATAGAAGAACTGTGCATTTGCTAGGAAAAAGAATGGTGAAGGAAGCTCTTCCTTGACCCAATTCAAGTATATTCATCCTTCTACCCACTAAAGGCCGCAGATGAACCCCCTGTAATGATTCAGAGTTTGCTCCTGGCATACAAGAAGTGTTCTGTTCCATGAAGCAAGGCCAGGGAGAAAGAAACCACTAAACAAGCAGATGAAGTTTTTCTTGTTCAGAAGATGAAGTGATCAGAAAACTATCTGTTAAACTTCTGCATGCCAGATCACTGCCAAGAAAACTCACACATCAGCAATCCTAAGATTCATGTGCATGAGATTTCTTCTGTGTCTCTCTTTTTAAAGTGACACTTTTATTCATTTGAAATCAAAATACAGTTTCCTTACACTAATAGCCCGATCTCATCAGATCTCAGAAGCTAAAAGAGGTAGGCCCTCATTAGTATTTGGATGGGAGACCACCAAGGAATAGCAGGATTGCTATGCTGAGGCAGGCAATGGCAAAACATTTTGGATTGTCTCTTGCCTTGAAAACCCCATGAGGTCACCATAAGTTGGCTGCAACTTGACAGCAAACAATAACACCAACAACAACAACTGGCATTCATGAACAGTTTTCTCCATACCAGAAGCCATGCACCACTATGTAAGGTATGTGATACAGTCAGTTCTCGTGCACAAAACCTTATGCTACAATAAATCTGTTGGCCTTTAAGATGCCACAAGATTCCCATTTGGTTTTGCTGCAGCAGACTAACATAATTACCCTTCTGGGATATGCATATCTTGAAATATTATTACCTGATAAAATAAATGTCATATTTTCCTTTCGTTTTGCCTCGCTGTCTTTGCTTTATTATCTTCTCCCATCCTTCTGGGACAGCTTTGTGGCAGAGAGAGTCTGCTAAAGATATAATTGCTCCAACCTCTTTGCATTGCACTGGGCTTTCAGTCAGACTCTCAGTATCTTCTTCTTCGGGGGCAACACAGTCTCCTGCTGCTGTCAGAAGTTGACCCTTCTCTTTGTTTCCGTCTCTGGTCATTTGTGTTGTGCTTCTATCACTGAAACAATACAACATAAAAATAGAAGGACCATTTATCAGTGGCAAAGCACATGATTTGAAGACATGAGCTTACAGGTTCAGTTCCTAGCATATCATGTTAAAGGATCTCAGGTAGCAAGTGTAGTGCCAGAAACTACTGACAAATACATTTTTGTCTTTATCTATATCCCACTTTTCTCCACAATGGGGAGGGACCCAAAGTACTTTTCTCCCTAACGTTCTGCCTCCATATAAAGTACCTTCATGCATGTTCATGTGAATCTCCTGTGGAACTGTTCACAAGTAGCAATGCACTGAAAGACCAACCGTTTTGTGGCCAAGAATGCTGCTGCTAGTGAGAGCAGGCAGCACTGAGCTAAAAGTGCCAGTATAAACTCAATATAAACCAGTTTCACATTTTTTAAAAATGCAGAATTGGTTTATTCCCATGAATCATTAAAGGAAGTTTTTTAAAAAATGAAGCCCTAGCCTGGATGGACCAGGCCAGCTCAATCTCATCAGATCTTGGAAGCTAAGCAGGGTTGGCCCTGGTCAGTACTTGGGACACCACCAAGGGATTCCAAGGTCGCTATTCAGAGGGAGGCAATGGCAAGCCACCTCTGTTAGTCTCTTGCCTTGAAAATCCTATGGGATCGCCATAAATCAGATGTGATCTGGCAGCACTACACACAAAATCAAAACTGTGGCTGACATACTTTTATAAAGAAAATACTTTCTGCCCATTCGTATGGCAGGAGGTCTCTTTTGTCCTTCTCACTGCAGCTCACTATTATCAAAGGAAACTGATTGGTAGTAAGGTCAGATCAAACCAAAAGGCACTACCTGTAAACGCAGCTCTAAGCTCCCCGGTGGGTGGGATATAAGTGCGAGGTGGAGAGGAATGAACAGGATCATATCACATTTTTACCTCTTCCGCCAGTGGGCTCAGGATGGTGTCAGTGGCTCTCCATTTTATCACCACTGTTGTGAGGCACGTCAGGCTTAGAGAGAGCAATTCGCCCAAGTTTCAGGGCTAAAGGAGGATCTGAACCCAGTTCCGTTAACCACTATTACCACGCTAGCTCCCCCGCCGCATACATTCTTTGACACTACTGCCATTCCATGGGCTGGACCAAGCCAACTGACGGGGGAGACAGAGAAATGCATAAAGTATTCACTGCAAAGTCCCCGCGAGTCCGCGACCCCTTCTCAGGTGGCTGCTCCCTACCTGCCCTCCAGTGGTTCCGATACTTTCCGCACTGACATCTTGCATCGCCTTTCTCATCCGGCGGTATATCACGCACGCGCATTCTAACTGAACCTCTCAAGAACTTTCCCGCCAGAACAAAAATACATACACGTAACCTTTCCCACTTCTCTACAACAGAGCAACGAAATTACCCTCGGGCTGCTTTTGCGCACGCGCATTCTCAATGTAGTACCCACAATGCCATTAAACAGAGCCGAGAGTTAAGATATCTTGCCGGTGCGCGGAACGCCACAGGAAGAGTAGGCATGCCCTTGGGATTCGTATGAAACGTCTGGAGTCGTCGCACACTCCTTGTAGACACTTCCATCGTAGAACTGAACTGATCTTCCACTCAAGGGTATAGGGACCCTCCACACACACAGAGTCAAGAGGGTGGAAGAACGAAGCCACTATGCGCGCTAGAGAATCAAAGCGACAGGCAATATTCCATCGTTACCGGAAGTTTAGCCTGCGCGTTACTCTAGTATTGTTCCATCTCTATGTCTGTTTGGTATTTCCTTGCTCAGAAAGACTGAGATTAGGAAGGGCGAGAGCGCATGCGCGTTGCCTAGGCCGACTGCGTGGCGTCCCGTGTAAATAAGAGTGGTAGCTGTGTGGGGGAGGGGTGGTGAAAATAGCACGTTAAAGGGGAGGGGGGAGAGAAAGGTGTGACTTACCACCCCCACCCCTCGAGGCGGGGGTGAGGGATGCAAGGGGGGACAGCATGCGAGCTGCACTGACGTGGAAGGATAAAGCTGATCAGTGGTAAGATGATTTCTTCTAAAGAAATCGGCTGGACAATTTCATTTATTTAAAGCGTATTTTATTATTGTAGTAACATTTTGTATGTTTCCCAAGCAACGTGCATGAGTTTTAATGCCTTTATACTGATATTTTACTTATTTAGACAGCTGTTGCAGATTTTAAATTGACGTAACCGAGTAGCTGTGTGATAGATGCTGTAATAAATACGCGGATATGAAGGACGGTCAGTGAGGGGAAAGCTGGCTGAGCCTTCTAGGGCTTTTTCTACGCAGAGTTGATTCTCAGTATAGCTTTTGTTGCATTTACAATACTTCTGCACCCAAAGAGTGATTAACACATGGAATTCACTGCCACAGGAGGTGGTGGTGGTTACAAGCATGGACGGCTTCAAGAGGGAACTCCATAAGTATATGGAGCAGAGGTCCATCAGTGGCTATTAGCCACAAGGTATAGATAGGAACTCTGGGGAAAGTGATGCTCTGTATTCTTGGTGCTTGGGGGGGGGGCAGTGGGAGGGCTTCTAGGGTCCTAGCCCCACTGCTTGGAACTCCTGATGGCACCTGGTATTTTTGGCCACTGTGTGACAGAGTATTGGACTAGATGGGCCATTGGCCTGATCCAACATTGGCTTCTCTTATGTTCTTATGTACCAATAGATCATCCGTGTGACAATTTTCCATGCGCTTACCTTGCTTCAGCACCTCCTCCACCACCATTCCCCCCTATCACAGGGCTACTTAAAAAAAGTAATTGCTAAATAATGGTAGTATTATAATGTCATATTGCCACAATCTATTAGTTCTTGACTTTCGTTTTTTAAAGTAAGTTTTTAGTTCTTTTCATTGCAAAGTTACAAGGTGAAAGGTGGCCATTTAAAAAATGAGAGCTGGTAACCAGTAGACAATGACAATGGATTGTTTGTAATCCTATAGGGATTTAGTAGTTCCCTTTTTTTAAGCATTAAAAATTTTTCTTGGAAAAAGCTAGGTAAGTCAAGGAAAATGATACTGTTGCGGGCAGGACCTGCAAAAAATGCACACCTTCCCATCCAAGCAGTGTCCAAAGTTACTTTGCTGTCTTTCCGAAAAGATAATACCAAATGAGGTTTAGGGAAGATTGCAGTAAAGCAGGGGATACTCAGAAACAAGATGAACAGAGGATGACATCGCATGGATACTCCTGAAAGCTGAACTGCTGTGAGGAAGACAAAGTGGATCAAGACATCCATGTTTCAAAAACCTTGATCTCTGTGACAACTGCTTTATTCTTGCAAAGTTTGTTTCCATAGAACATATTAATGGGAATACGTGCCTATAGTGCCTGCTGGGTACAGGTGTATGCAGATATGGCTCTCTCTGCGCAATCAGATTTCTCCATCGTATGGAGAGAGCCTTAAGGACAATTGCATGTGTGTACACTCTGCTTTGTATGCAAAAGATCCAAGGTTCAATCATTGGCTTTTTGATTTAAAAGACTCAGGCAGAAGCTGATATGACAGACAGTCACTTGAAACTGTGGAGAGTGACTGTCTGTCTGAATAGCAGTACTAACTTTGGTCACACTTAGGGAATTCAGAGGAATGTACACAAGTTGGAGCCAGAACTTTCTGCTACTGTCCTGTTCCCTCTTATGTCTTTTCACTGTATACATTTGAAGATTTGAAAAGAACTTTCTTCCAAACAGTGTAAGAAGGTAATCCCATCCTGTTTATTACTGAGACATCCTTCATTTAGTCCCAGCATTTATACATCTTTATTGGGAAGCAAGTATGCAGGCATAGAATTACAGTCTGAGCAACTGATAGGTTGCTGAAACTCTAATTTTATCAAAGCATCAGTTTCTGGTCACATAATATTGTCTCTTTGAATGGGTTGTATCATGGTGTCAATTGCTAAAGCTGGGGGGGTAAGGGCACTGTTTGTCAAACAATCTGCATGCTGTCACTTAAACATTTTGGTATTTTTCCCTTCTGTGATGGGCTTGTAGCTAAAACTTTGGTGTGGGCTATTTTTTAAAAAGAAGATCCAAGATTGTGTTCCTCTAAGCCTATATTAGGTAGCACATATTACCTATAATTCAATTTAATACCAGATGGTTTGGTTGAACTATCTTGTTCTGTAAAGCAGGAAGCACTGTGATGTGTATGTAAAACAAATTACTGACTGGGAAGGGGACCCAGTTCTGGGACTATTGGCTTGGCATATTGTGGATATGGACACTTTTTGATATTTGTCTGTACCTCTATGTCTGCATATAGCACCTAACCCAGTGAAAATGAGTAACTAATGGTGCGATCTTAACAAAGCGTTTGTGGGACTAAACCCCACTGAGTAAACACAAGAAGGATTCTTTTTAGGCTTGCTCTCTAAAGTAGTATAAGTATCAGAACTTTGATAAAGGCATACATACATTGCATAGCCTTGTTCTGACTTGGAAGATAAAACATGTTATGAATATCATGGGATAGTGGAGCTGCACAAATGAATAACTCTGTTACATGAATATCACTTCTGAACATAAATGCACAACTGGAATTCTTCTTCAGAACTTTCTGTAGAATGGTGCTTTATACTCGAGAGATCTGTATTATGGGAATAAAAGTTGATGATAAGAGGGGTCTTTCACTTTTTAAAATCTTCCTTTGTTTTAACAGCATTTATGACCTTGCATTTAAACCTGATGGAACTCAACTGATAATCGCAGCAGGAAACAGATTACTGGTATGTTGGAGTTCTGATACTTTTTTCCTCTAGTTTTGTCTATAGGCATCTTGGATATGGATATGTGGTGAAATATCAAAAGAATTTTCATTCCTTATCTGCTTAATGTCGTTTAATGTCTAAAATCACGTAACTGTTGTAAACTTTGGCGGTATAAAACCCCGCACTTTTCATAATACCTTTTTGTAAAGAGCACAATTCTTTGATTTGAAAACATAGATTGAATTTAAAAGGGATGAAGAACTCTTTACAACAAATAGTCTTGGTTTATCTTTTTGGAATAGCATAAATTTTATTTTCAAAGCTTGCCTGTCATTTTTTGGTATGGATTTATGAGTGGGTTTTTTTTTTTAAGGACTTGAGTCCAGAAACTAAGCAAAACTGGGCCTACCGCTTTGTGGATGAGAGACTGCTTTCAAGAGATTTTCCCCTCCTTCCTTATTAATGAGATTATGTAAAAAATAGTATAAATGGCATGCTGGAATCATAAATATGAAAACCTGAATGCAAGTGTCATTAAAATGAAAACAATTTCTTTTTTCGTTTACTTCATTTATATTCTGCCTTTCTCCCCACTCGGGGTTCAAAGCAGCTTACATCATTCTCCTGACCCCTGTTTTACCCACACAACAACTCTGTGAGGTAGGTTAGGCTGAGATTGTGTGACTGGCCCAAGGTCACCCAGCAAGCTTCCATGGCAGAGTGGGAATTTGAACATGGGTCTCCCAGATCCTAATCTGAGACTCTAACCACTTCACTACCCTGGTAGTAGGAACGGAGTGTTATGTTAACATATATTTATGAGTTTTTGTGATTTTAAATTTCAGCCTTATGTTATTGATTTGTTCACTGAAGTTTTAAAGTCTGTTTTTTATTTGTACAGGTTTATGATACAGATGGAACATTAATCCAGCCCCTTAAGGGACACAAGGAGACGGTGTACTGTGTGGCTTATGCAAAGGATGGTAATCAGAATTTACTAAATTAATTTGGCTTGTTAGTATTTGATCCAGTGCCTATATTTCACAGCATCTGAGTATTAAAATAGGTTTAATATTATGCATTTACATACACCCCATTCTTTCTAAATGTTATTGAACAAAAAATTATTTAACGGTATTAACAACAGACCACAGTAGAGCTTCAAGTACCATCAGTAGAAAAAGAGTTTGCAGAGATTAGAGTTCTGATTATTGCTAACACGATAGCATTCAGCTTGTTTAGCAAATAACACCGTTATGCTTTTGTGTTCTTGAGGTTAATATTAGTAATAAAATTATTTCATTACTTATGGGGGCTTTCACATCTCTTAGGGAAGCGTTTTGCTTCGGGGTCTGCAGACAAAACTGTAATCATCTGGACGTCAAAATTGGAAGGCATCCTGAAGTACACGTAAGCGACTACCTCATGTTTTACCCATCTCTGTGCTTTAAGTATCAATTTTAAGTAACTTGTAGGTGTTGAATAATAATTTTAACAATGAACAGTAGGAACATATAAAAAAAATGGAATACCAAAGCCTGTAGACTTTGCTTTGACTTGAATTCAGCTCGTGATGCAGTGTTGTGAGGATGTTATTGAAACAATGTTTAAAGTTCTTTATTGATTCAGTCTGCCGCTTTAATAAGTGTTTTCCTTCAGTTTTATCTATTGATCT